CTTTCTAAGCGAGAAGACTTCACTATTCAAGACATAGAAATATGGGCTTTTGAATAAGTATTTCACTATTTCTACAGGTTATTGTCCCAAACCTGACATGAATCAGTGCAGCTTAAAAATCCCTAGGAGCAATATAATGTATTTTACTTACCTGTTTTGTTTTTTTTTTTTTTCCCTAATATTTCAGTGTGGCCATTAGTTATTGTTTTTAAATAGCAGATGTTTTTTCATGCTCTTGCATCTGTAATATACTGTCATACTTTTTCTAAGCTTATAGACTCTTTTACAAAATATTGACCTTGTGGACTAAAAATTAACATTAGCTACTTTGAGCCTTGTGGCCTGTGAAATTTTCTTATCCATATTACAGTTGCCTCCCAGGTTTCCCACACACACCTTTCCTGCAATCCTGCTAGGGGGCTGCTTCATTGAATATAGCTTATTATTTTTGTATTCAAATTATGTCTATGAATGAAGTTGCCCTCTGTGAGCCTCTAAGAAAGCTGCGTGTGGGTATTTGGCAGCAGCACTGCAGAGATTTTTCCAGACCAATGATGGATTATTCAAGTGGTGCCACAAATGGATGAGAAGCTGAGCATTCCTTCCTAACACATCCCAGTACACACGTGGTGAAGTTAGAAGAGATCCAAAGTCAACAGTGCCACTTGTCTTGTTTCTTGTTCATGTGTAGAAAAGAGTCAGTTAATATGTGTTGTAGCTGCATGCTGATTGTATTTAAAGAGTGTTTTGCACATGCTGTTAATGATCTGCAGGTTTGGGACAAATACTGACAATATTGAGCTAAGTGGCAAAGACTTGCAAAATAGCAAGAGAATGTAAGAATATGATAGTTCCAAAACTTAAAAGGCTAAAGCAAGAAAAACTCAGTGAACAATTTGTAGCTATAGTAGGGCATTAAAAGTACAGACACAGATGCATCTTTCTTCAACATAAAGTGTCAGATATATACTGTTATACTGTTGTAGCCGTGTAGCACATCAGCTCCAAGAATATAGCTTATTCCTGTCCAAAGAAAAAAAAAAACTTGTGATGTTTTTGAGTGGGTCTATGTTGTAAATTTACAATTAGCACCAGCTCTGATAAAATGACATCATGTATCATAGGTAGACAATATTGTAATTCAGTAGACTTGTGGAATATGCAAACTTACTGTCATGTGACCTCAACAAATAAATGACAGGCTAGAATACAGTTCCAGTAGCTCTTGTCCACTTTTGTAGAAAACTTAATAAGCCATTGTGGCAATAACAGCTCAACAAAACTGTTTGTTTCAAAGCTTTTATTCTATGTTCTGCAAAAAAACAAAAGAAAACAAAAAAAAAAAAAGAACAAAAAAATTGCTGTTAAGTGTGACAGTGACTGACTTTGTGCTGAAATTTCAGCTATTTCAGACAAACATTGTATATTATCTTGTAAATTCATGTTTAAAGTAGTTTTGTTATTATAGAAAAGTGTTGATTGACGGGTTGCTTATAGCACTTTAAATTATTCTAGAAATGGAATAAAAGCCAAATGGGTTGGCTTACGTAGATGTAGTTGTATATTTCAAAATATTTACATTTCTGGAAAGTTAAAAAAAAAACTTATTTGAAGACAGCTTACTGCTATGGTAAAAAGAAAGGGCAGATGTTTCATTTATAATATGCTAATGCTCAATATTAATAGAAAAACAGGGCTTTGTTTCCTGTCTCTATGTATATCTCTATCCTTATTAGAACTTAGTACAATGTGTAGAGTAAATGTTTACAAAATAAGGAACTGTAAATAAATTGAAATGGCTTTTCTCCCCTTTGGTCTTCCACAGCAGTATTATTGTCTTTGTGGAGTTACAACTGATGATTACAACAAAAAAACAAATCCTGTAATGGATTTCAAGTACTATAAGCTCACAGTGATGTATAGCAAATAAATCTAAATATATGTAAAAATAAACTTGAGTCAGTGTTTATTTAGAACATTGAGTTTATGTAGAAGCACAAATGCAGTTTTTTGCTGTTTATTTAATAACTGAATGTACAGAATGCATTTTCTCTTTTTTTTTTGCATTTCTGGGTCTTTTTAAAGCCCTATGGGAAGCAATGGGAGTGAAATACATTGTCTGCAACCATTTTGAAGAAGGACATGGAAAAAGAAGAGTCTCAGATCATCCTTGCTGACAAAACCATTAATTCAACTGCATAGTCTCTATCCTAAGCTCATATTGCAAATAAAGCATATTTTAGGTTTACAGAGGGTGCTGTGAAGAATTTTATAAATAATACTTTGAATAATTAAATGAAAGCACACAAAAATCTTCAGTAGTTGAATGTTGCCAAGTATTGGACCAATCTTGGAAAAGCAAATAGAAAGCAAAAAAGCAGAACTCAGTGCTTACTAGTGTAAGCAGTACATTAGCAATCATGCTTGTAAAATTCCAAATTAGTTAAGAAATGGAAGGACATTTGATTTAAAGCGTAAGTGACTGTGGCAATGCTTGGTGAAGCAACTGACTGTCTAAGGGAGATGTAGAAAGTGGTGCATGTCAATTTAGGCAAGACCATGAATTTTATTACCAGAGGTGTTGTTAATTTCTGTATGACAGACATAAAAGCCTTGATGTCCCTTCTGTCTTTAGTTCATTATGCTTTTTCTGCAGTAGAATTCCCTTCCATCTTTCCTGGAAAGGCTTGTTTCTGTGATTGTAAAGCATTGGGGTTAGGCATTCGCTGAAGGCTTGTGAGACCCATTATCTAGAGTTGGCTCCCAGCAGACTGTGTCTCAGCATCCAGTACTTAGATGGATTCACTGAGTAACTTGGGGTTTTATTTGGGTACCTGTGATCCAAATGTGGGATTCTTGAAGTACCATCTTTTGGCTCTAAATCCAGTCTGTGTTAGTGCCTGATTTTGTGTAATCTGCAAAAAGGTCATAATTTATGACATACGGCTTGTGCTTGCATCTTCCTGCTCACCTGTTTATATTGTATTAGTTATTTTTGTTGTACAGAAAATAAAATGTCCGCATAAAATTTGCTCTTGGAAGATGAATAAGAACATTGACTATTCCTTCAACTTCAATTAAAAAATCTTCTATTCTTCCTTCAGTATTTGTATCTTAAACACTGATATGTTCTCCCTTCATAAAAGAACAGATGTCATCAGGGTATTTTACTGTTGTCATTGGAGTTTGGAGCTTAATTAAGGGGACAAAACTCCTCTTTCTCCTCTTAAAGAGTAGGTGCTACTGCAATGATAGAGAGCTACGCTGTGCTTCTGGAGCAGAGAGGGGGATTGTCCAGCTGAGGGACTGGTGTACACTTGGTGTAGTATGTGCAAGCCAGTCCTGCTGCCTGTCTCGCTGCAGAAATGCCAGTGCCAGCTCTGCATTCTGCTCTCCTGCTTACCTTACAAGCTTTGTAATTGTAGTTTGTTTTCTCTTGTGATAATTACACTGCTAATAGTACAGGTGCTGTTGAATGCTAAGTTGCTTTGTGCCCTGAGGTGTCAGCGTTGTTTTTAGTCGAGGAGTTGGGGCAGTGCAATCTGTACATAGCAGCTGACATGGCTGTGGGAGGAGGGCCTGCCAGTTCTGTTCTGTGATGATTGAACATATCACCATTAACAGCTTATTTTATTTCAATAGCCTTCCCCTGTTTTAAAAATGAACTATATTACTGAACCTTGATTGTACATTTGTACAGAAGGAATTATTACAGAACATTTGTAAGGAAGGAATTACTGCTTTGGAGGAGGGAGCTGATTTCTACTGGGTGGGGTAGATGTCCACTGAACCTTCCACTCACTTCAAGCCACTGCAGCAACTGTGGCAAGACTTGGAAAAATACAAAGGTGTGAAAGTCAAATTTATTTCTTCTGATACAAGTTCCATGCTGCCAATTAAACTTGATAGCTGTATTAGAATGTAAAATATATGTATATGTAAGTTCCTACAGAAGAAGATAGAATTTTTTCACTATCGAGGATGTGCAAAAACAAAACTAGCTTCAGACAGCAGAGTGCAGGACTTCTACTCTGTTTCAAGTAAAACATTTTGGGAGTGAATACAGTATTTAAGAAAATAATGTGCGACTATAAGCTACCATGAGAGTAGCTGAGAATTGCTTATTGTATCAAAGATTAAGGGGTTTTTTTTCAGAGCAAGTCAGAACTACGAAAGCAGGTCTTAAATAAAAATTTACAGAGACTGCTTTAATCAAGCAGGTTTGGACCTTTATCATCTCTCTGCTTAGAATATTTAAATTTGGCAGAGGCTGTACTCATTTTGCAGTAATATTGCACAACATAGGAGAGGTAGGGTGGGTAATTCAGGCATGTAAGAAATGCTATAAAGGATATAACCTACATGAAATGCTTCCATACACCATAATTTATATCAATAATTAATATTTGTTTTTGACAAAAATGGTAAATTATTTTCAGAAATTAGAAGGCTTTGCATGGTACTGCCTACTCAAAGGTAAATAGTGTGGAGTAGTATGAGCAAAAACACTAGTTATGTCATGTGGGTTTTTCATCCAATTAGAAATAAAATAGTTTCAATGGAAGAATAGGAAAAAGTTGTGGGGTTGGTTCATTTTGCATAGGTTTTAATACTGGGATGACTTGAGTAGGAGGCTTAAGCTACCTGCAGTGAGCTACCAGTTGGTGAGTTTGGTGATACATTATTTATTACATTGTTATAGCTGCTGTATTTTCCTGTGGTAAGATGACAATTCTCATGAGCAGAAACATGTAATTCACTTAACACTTACATGCCTTTAGTGTGTATTCTTCATACAGGTGTTTTGTATAAGGTCTGTTGCCATGTACTCTGAAATCTTTTTCTGGTGCTTTGGACAGAGAAACCTTCACAGGAAATATTTTAACAGCCCATGAAAAGGAGAATATATGTGTACTTATATTTTGAAGCAACTTACTGATATTTTACTTCACTGAGTATGCTCACATATGTTTTCTAGTGTGTGGGAAAATAACCCAAGAAATAATTAAGGGTTTTATTTATAGTTCATGTATTCTTTTGACAACAAAATTTTGTCAAGACAATTTAGATAGCTGTAAAAGGTCATTATATAAGATATAAAGAATAAGTTAAGAATATGCAGGTAAAAATTATGACATATAAGTATTACACTAAGACATGCATTTTGTAGGTTGAGTAGTGTAAGAGATCTCAAGAAAATATTAAATAAGTTCCACTGATTCCACCTTACAATTTTTACTTCCGTAGAGTCACATAACTATGCCTAAAATATTAATGATTTACATAGATTTAGAGTAGATGTAGTAGTCAGTTCCTGTATCAAGTTATAAAATACTTGGTTTATTTGTACATTGAAGCTTCAGACTGGAGTGTCTGTACTCATAATAAGACAGCAATATTTGTTTCATCAGAGACAAGATGTTAATACACCTCTACTTCTGTAAGAAGATATTTGCTCTTTCAGTTTGAAAGAATATTAAGAGGTGGGGGTGGGGGGGAAACCACTTCTTTTTCATTACTTGCCCAGGCATCTGCTCTGAAACAAATCCTTTTCATATGAAGCACACACATTTTACCAGGACAGCTATTTTTAAAGTAGTAGAAAAACGGATCTCTCTAATCCACTAAGTAGAAGAGACCTTACAGAGATCTCATATTTCTGAACAATATAATTTTAAGTCCTAAAAGTATTAGTTCATTAGCACTCAGTGCTCTTCAGCATCACCTGGACATTATTTAGTGACATTGGAATGGCAAATCCTGTAAAATAAGGTCAGTATTTCTGTGTGATGTGGAACAACATTTTCCTCAAAGTTATGAATGCCGTTTCTCTCTTTTTTTCACAGAGGTACATTTCAATGGCAGATGATGATGTTAGTCACTTTTTTGCTGTATACAAAAGAACAAGTACCTGGCTAGCTTTTATATGTTACATATTATTTTTTTCCTGTATTTATAAGAACAGTATCAGCATAGATAATCAGATAAGAAATTACACAATGTTACATAGAAGGTATTTTTAGGTAGCTATCTAATCAAAATATTTTTATTCATTGCATTCCAACCTCCATAAGTTTAAATATGAAACAATCTAAAAAAAATAGTTATATAAACACAATAAATATATAAAACCCCATTTACAAAAAGAATTTTTATGTGATATGTAAGAGAAAGCTGTGTAAACAGTTGTATCTACAAGAGAATACTGCAGTAATAGTTACATGTTATCTTTGTAAAGAAAGCAAATATAGTATCCTTGAGTCTCTATTAAAATAAGATTCTGTATTAAAATAAGATTGTAGTTAGTTAATTAGAAAGTGCATGCTCAAAACCATTTCTCAGATCAAAAACTTTGTCTGGGTTTATTTTGTCATTCAGCTTCTGATCCAGCATGTTTCATATTCCTGTAGCTATGGGCTTTTATCATCAGCTGCTTATATTCCATATAGCTTTTTCTCCTTATTTTTTATGTAGTAATTAACTTAATTGTTTTGAAAGTACTTCTGGTGTAAAATTAAGTCCATTTGGATGTTTGGGTTATGCACTAGTTATAAAATATTTCAAAAAATACTCTTTTCTATGTGGTGAACAGGGGAATCTTATATTCAAAATGTGCAAATGCTAATGGCAAGGGAGAAGAGGAGAAAAGTTTTCCAAAAGTTGTTCTGGTTATAGCGTAACTTATTTTAATAAAGTAATTATGACATTATCATCTCTTCCTTGCCATAACATTTCTCCTTCAAAGTCCACCAACCCGTGTTTCCTGGCTCTCATCAGAATCCCAACAACCTTATCTGAAATACGAACGTATCTGTCGAAGAGTTCCCCAAAAGTGACTTGGATCTTGCCGTCGGGCCGTGGCTTGGCCATTGATTCAATGATGAAGCACATGTCCCTGATCTCCCGGTGGATGTGGGCCTCAGCTCTCTTGGCTCTCTCGGCAGTTTTGGTTCCTTCCTTTGGGTGGCCGTATCCTTCATCTCCTTTGTGCAGGCGCGTGGACATGGCCAGCTCGTGGTCAAACTCCTCGCTGAAGGGGTTCAGCTTCTGCGTTATGATGTGCTGGTCGGCCCATTCCTGCCACCTGTCCTTGAGGCTGTGCACGGCGCTGCATTTCCTGCGCGCATTGCTGCGCGCCTCCTCGCTCAGCCGGCTGGCACTGAAAGACACAGAAACACACCTGAGCTTTGCATCTCCTCCTTTCCTGATACAGTTCTGCTGTTGGTATCCTCTGCTCTAACTGGGTTCTGTGGTTTTGGGATGAGCTGGAATCCACCAGGTGGCACGAGTTCACCACTTCTACATTAGTTCTCTAAGGGCTGTTCATCCACATTCAGTTTGCACACAAAGGTAAGTTCCATGATCACAGCTTTATCCTGTCTACACTACCACCTTCCAGCCCTGATCTGAGCCTGTTCAGACAAACTTTGTCCCAGAATGACTTAATTCTGTAAGGGAACAAAACAGTATGTTGCTGATCACCTGTGCTTTCTGTACCTTTGGTCAGTCACACAGTTAGTTCCCCATTCCTGCCTGCTTGGCCAAGCCTGAAGTGTGCCTGCCCTGAGGTGAGAGGTGCTGATTGCTGTAGGTGTATGACCTGACTGAAAACTAGAGGGTAGTGCCTAGAAAAATCTGTCCTCTTTAATAGATGTTAATGATTATAGCAACAACAAAGAGCTAATTGAGTGCAGTAGCTCTGTCTGTGCTTCTGTATTTGGAGTATGGTTCTGAACAAATATTGAAGTCCAAAATTCACATTCCCATGGGAAGGGTAGAAGCCTGAAAGTATCAAGGACAAAGAATAAGGAAAGACATTCAGAGTTTTTTTTTTCTTTTTTTTTATATGTGTAATAGCTCTGGATGACTCCAGGCAGACACTCGATCCTCTTGTGGCCAATCTCACATCTTGTGGGGGAGCTATAGATAGTTTGAGCTAGTCTTTGTGCTGTCCACGTCCTGTCAATGTATGGTACTGAACTCAGCTGGGACTGTGCTGTGCTGTGGCTGTGCCAAAGTAATTTGTTTTTTAATATTTTTACTCCCTAAAAGGTTGCTCTGAAACCTCCCCAGTCATGTCAGCTGAATATTAACACCAGAAAATCAAAATGCACTTAGCAAACAGTACACAGGGCTGTAAAGTTGCAGAAATTTCTGTTCCCCTGCTGTTTGATCTTTCCTTTGTTTTCTACTAAGCTGGTTGAAATAGAGAATAGGGGTCATAGAGATGTCCCTAGTTCAGATCAGTGCACCAGAAAGATGCCAGTGTTGGGCAGGGCTGTGCTAGGGTAAGAACTGCAAACACCTAATGCCAGGGATAGGAAGAGAACTAGGAGATCTGCACTACTTTGTTGGCTGTGGAGTTGCCCTAAGATTGGCTTAGCTGTGCTGAGAAACTGTGTTTAAAAAGCTCCAAAATACTCTTCCCTATCAATTTTGTGAAAAATCTTTAGAAGAATTGAGCATACTGAGTTGCCAAGTGCACCTTTCTTCTGTGATGCAACTACAGAGCATCCTGAGAGTGGGCAGCATGTCTGTAGCTGTAATATTGTGTAAATGATTAACAGGTAGGTGTTGTCAGGAAAGCATTAAAATATATTAGTGGAGTAAATCTAGACAATTTGGTTTCCCAACAATAAACCAAATGCTCCTCTATATAAGCTATTGTCATGCAGAGAAAGGGAGAGCTGTGATCCTTTGTCCCTTCATCTGAATTGTGCCTTCTTTGCCCAGAGGAACTGTGGGCACAGGGTTTGGCTATGCAAAGGAATTTGTCTCCTGAAGTCTATGGCTATCTCAAAAGTCACAGAAACCCACAGAAAAGACACAGAAACAGACTGAACTCCAGCTGAAGCTCAGATTGCTTCACTAGCTCTTCATGTGTAAGCTATCAGTTAAGATGGGGAAAAAATCCTAAGTGAATCAAAATTGCCTTGAAGAAGTGATGCCTTCAGTCTCAGTGGAGTTTATGAGTAGATATCATCATGGAGGACTTATTACTCAGCCACAGCCAGCTGCTTCCCCTTCTCTCCAGGGACTATGACCACTGAGAAAGTCCTAGAGCTTTGGTTCCCCAGGTTGAGGGGAGAGAAGAGGGGGACTGAGACAGCAGGAGGCTGTGCAGTCTTTGTTACTTACTTTAATTTAACAGTCTAGAATGTATTCCCTCCTTTTTCTACTGAAACTAACTTTCCTTTCTAGCAGAATATTATTATTGCCTTCCTCATCCACATCATCTCAATGGTTGGGAAAACCATCTTATCTATTCTTTTGCTTTTATCACACATCACACGGGCTTGAAAAATACCTTACTTTTTTAATGCAGCTTGTAATTTAATAATTTCTAGTTGATGAAGTGCTATTTTTCCCATTGTTTAGCTTAATAACATGTTTAAAAAGTGAAGCATTTCTTCATGTTTCTACTGCACCTACACAAAGGATTGTGCACCCAAAGTGAAGGTTTTGAACTTCTACCCAGTCTAAGAAGTGCTTTACGTGCAGTAATCAACTAAGTTAACCTGTTAACCAGAATGATCATTCTAAATGTATTCTGACCTTCTAGGCAAATAATGTCCTAGGCAAATGTTGCATATTTGCCCTGTTTCTATCTGTAGGGGAAAGGTATGAATCCCATGTTAATGTTTGAGTTTCATATCCCTTTTGTTGCATCCTTTTTGCTTCTAAGCATGAGCAGAAGAGTGTCTCTTATGGCAGTAGGAGTCAACAAGCCTTCTACTAAGGAAGCAACCTTATGTATGGATGCTATTTTCCTGGAATGTGGAGAGGAAAATAGGAGATATGCTTTAACAGCTGTGTACTTATGGCCTTTTTGAAGAAGATTAAACCACGTTGAAAGATTCATAAGGGTAGCAGGCTGAAACTATATTCTGAGGTTGTAAAATAAATGTTAGAAAATGAATAGTTTAAAAAGTTCAGTCCTGATAGCAGCACTGTAAGTGAAGGAAATTAGTTCTCTGTTCTATTCCAGTGGAAGAAAGAGCTGTAAGTAACATAGAGAGTGTTATTTCAATAATTTGGATCACAGTAAATATGGCTAATCAATCTTTTTTCATGGTAGCAGCACTAAAATTAGACATATGAGGAAAATATAAGAAAACTTTAACGGAAACTAGATAGTTGGTCTGTTTCTACTATAACATTTGAAATTGAGAAAATTTGTTTTAATTGAAGTTGTTTACAGATAAGTGCTGCAAATGTATCCTTTTTCCACTGTATATTTGGAATCTTTGGTTTGTGAAACGATGGTGCACACAGTCCTTGCCAAAAGCAGGTACCACGAACTTTCAAGCCCTAGGTTACTGGGGAGCTTTTTTCACTTGGGCTGTTAACTTGGGCTTCTTGCAGAAGCTGACTGCTCAGCTGTACAGCAAAGCATTGTGCTAATTCCATTTGAATAGTTAAAATAGCTCTGGGGGTGTGTGTTCAGATAGCTGTGCTTAAAGGTTCTCTATGACTGAAGTCCATAACTGTGTAGTCACAGTCTAATGGTCACATAATGCTCATCAGTAGTGAGGTGTAAAACCAAAACAGTGACTGTGATACAGCCTGCTTGCCTGTCTGCACAGGAATCACAATGCCTGTTTTGGCATTTTCATCAGTTTTTCATCATCGGAGCTGATACAGTTTTTAATTTCTGAAAATGTGATTGAGATATGTTATGGTATGAACTTGGGGTCTAAGATATTGTGGAATTTTCCTTTGTTTGAATTGATGAATTTTAAATTCATGAAAAGCTTCCAAAGAGAAGCACTGAATCCAAATTTTGGTTAGAAATATGTGGATGTAATTCCTGCAGCATTAATTTGTGACATTCTCTTCAAATTGCTCCTGAGGATATTTACAATTTATACTAAGAAAATAATGAATAAGTATTTGAAAATATTACTTGTCAAATATATTGATTTAGACAACATTTTCTGAAATAAATGACTAGCTAAAAGCTCTTGGTGAGGTAAAAGTTGTGATTCTGAAATATGGACTAAGTATAAAGAAGTAAGTAGTTATTTTGATGAACCAGTAAATCCAGTGTGCAAATTAAATATAATTAACATATCCCAAATATAACTTCCTGGCTTTTTGTATTAGGTACATAGTCAAATGTTGTTGAGTAACTACTTAAGCACAGAGTGATAAGTGAAAGATCTCCTGATGGATTAATGTCTTCTAAATCAAGAATAATTGTTCATCTTTGACTGCTTCCCGCTATCCGCTCCCTGGAAAGCTGAACCCCTCTGCCATTTGCGTTGATGTAAGGAAAATGCTTTACTTACAGAGACGGGACAGGCCGTTTGATCCTCACAGCTGTCACCTCCCGGTCACTGTCTTCCTGCTCAAGCTTGTCCTCTTCCCCATAGCCACTGTCCTGGGCATCCAGACTGTCATCGCGACACTTCAGCAGCAGCTCTCCCTTGGGCCCATCTTTGTCCTCGTCTTCCATCTTCTCCCAGCCCTTGGTCAGCTCTGATACCACATTTGAGCACTTCCTCCTTATGGTTGAAGGTAATTTGTTACTAAGAATTTTGTCAATAGCATTTGATTCTTCTTTGAGTTTGGTCATCTCAGAGCTGCTGTTGTTGTTCTCATATCTTTCACTGAGGAGGCTGACGTCGCCCCCTCGTTCATAGGCTTTGCTGACAACTGTTTTGGTCACCTCTTTGCTTTTAATGCTGAACATTTTGAAGTCTTCATCTGATTCCATTAATTTTTTCTCAGCATCTCTTATTGTCACCAATTCCTTTGCTAAGGATTTTTCATCATCTTTTTCTTGGTCCCTCTTGACAGATGGAATTTGCCATTTTTCAAAAGAACTTTCTTGCACAGGCTGAGCTGATGAGCTTTCAGCAGTGGGGGCCCATCCAGAGGGCTCTTGCTCTTGCTTTACATGGTGGTCAGATGCCCACTGCTGCCAGCCTCGTGCCAAGCTGAAGACCTGGCTGGCCATTCGGATCTTGTGGACAGCCCTTCTCACAGGAGCAGGTCTCGGCTTTTCGTCAGGAGCCATGCTGCTGTCTGCTGCCATCCTGGCTTCTTCCCTTCTTCTGCTCAGCACCTTCTGAATGGGCTTCCTGAAGTGAATAATGCTCTCTGAAGAGGGCCACACAGATTTAAATAGAAGCAGGAGCAGTTGATGCCCATGGAAAATATGTGACATGCTTCTCACAGAGATAGAGTATCCTCACTGTTGCAGAAGTCTTTTTTTAAAACGCAGGTTTACATTTCATCACAGCAGATGAATTATGCATGATGTAAACAGTGTGACACAGACCTGTTCTGGAAATAGAGGGAAAGTAACAGCTCCTTTAGTCCCCCCTCCCTGGGACTGCTGAATTCCTAGTTTGCTGGCAAGGGTCTTGTTCTTTTGGGAACGCAGCACGAGGGTTAGAGATACTGATCAGAGTGACTGAAAATGCTAAATGTGAAGGGCTGTCAGTGGCTAGGAACTTTGGCCAGAATGGACACTCCTCATCATCACAAGAAAATAGTGGCCCTTGTCATGGAGTGTGAAGCCAGAAACAAGTTGTGACTGAGAAATTTTTAGAGGTATTTCCTAAAAAGATACTGGGTGATTTTTTTCTTATTGTTCATGTGTCCAAGGAAATTGAAGTTTGTTAATTTTTAAAAGGTATTTATGAGTTCTCTTCCCAGTCATTATCTATTAATGCCTCTCTCTTTAGAACATACCTTCAGGGGGGCCTGGGAGCACTATCATGTTTGGTGTCAGCACTAAGGAAGAGGGAATCACTATGTCTGGGGATCAGTATAGTAAATCTGACTTGATCAGATGGATGAATGATCTCCAAGTTTTAGGGTTTTGAGAAAATAAAATATAACCTATTTAATTTCTTACTGCTTTTCAGTAGAGTTATATACAGCATAATTATATTTTCTGTGTACAATCTAAAAAAATATCAGTTTTTCTAGGAAACCTTGTGATTTGTTCATTCCAAAGGACTTCCTAGAGTGAGTTCATATTCAAACTTGTAATATTGTTTAGTGAATTGATACATCCATTGTTGCATGGTAATAAACATTTTTCTGAGATACAGTCCTCTGATATCTTATTTCTTAGTATAATGTTTCCTAAATAGGAACGGAAAATGTCACTGCTTTTTCAATCCATCATACCTTGCAGATTACAGGATGACCCGTGGCACTTGCCATGTGGTGCTATGAGGCACTCAGAACTTCAAGGAATTCTGTTGGCTTTATTGGTGTTACATCAGAGATAAATATGGACACTCATACTCTGCCCTTTTTTATCTTCTCTCTGTTAAAGGCTGGGCTGTTTGAAGTAGGTCAGATCATATTTAGCTCTTGATTAATGCTATAAGTCTACATCATACCTTTGACTTCCATGTAGAATTCCTCATTAATCTGTGGAGTAATTTCCTCTTCAAAACTGATGACATAATGTAAGTTTGTGTTGCTATTAGATATTTACTCATGTTTTTATTTTAGAAAAAAATGTGTCACCTCTATGTACTGTACAGTCTCAGCTATTGCCCACTGCGTCACAGCTGTGAGATGACATTGTGAGATGTACCCATACAACTTGATTAAGGAACATGTGTCACCAAACATTTATTTTGGTCATTTTAAGGCTAATCAGGAGTTGGACCTCCTTGTGCTTAGAATTTGCACATGCCCATGCAAGCACACAGGGGGGTGTATGCTCCCTAAAATACAAGGAAGAGGCAAGTGAAAGAAAATAATGCACATGCAGAATAGGGGTATTACACCAGTTCATTTTGCCATTCTGTGAGGTTTCTGGAGTGTAAGGGTGGCTGAGGCTTTAAGAATGAGCTGAAAGCTAAATACAGATAAGAGGTCAGGCCAAGGAAGGACTGCAGTGATACAAGGGACTGTGAAAGGACATCCTGAAGTGTATGGGCAATAGAAATCCCTGTTAAAGGGCAAGGTCAGCTCCATCTCCAGTAGACTACCAGCAGTAGATACTCCCCACTGTCTAGGCAATCTATTCCACTGGTTAATTGGCTGTATTTCACACAGACCTCTTCTCAGTTTATTACTGCAAATACTCTTGAGGTTCTTGAACACTTTTGCTCTTATACAATAATTGCAAGTAGTCGTATTGAAACTCATGGCACTGAAAAATAGTTGCATTCCTGAGGGATGTTTAGAAATTACAGCACATTTCAAAGAAGTTGTTAATAAAGAGACTTCTGGTTTTTTTCTTACAGACTTGACCTTGGTATACTGGTCAGTCCTACAGACTTAATGCTTAGATAGTTTAGGTAAATGACAATGAAAGGTTACAGAGAAACACCAAGATTACAGATCTAAACTGCTATTAAATCCATATTGCACAACAATATGTTAAACAAATGTTTAGTTTAAATTGGTCACTATATTAAGCTGAAGTGTTATCACAGACCTGTCCAAAGTGCCAGTGAAACTTTGATATAATTATTCTGAGGATAACTATCTTTGTAATTTAATTTTAGGGTATACAACGACGATGCCTTGAATGTGTTGAATGTTGTCTCATTTTATATGGTAGTGCTGCCAGCAAGAAGTTAATTATATGCATAAATTATGTCCAAATCATCTAGTGATATTCATACTTTGTGTGTTGTTTACCTTGCAAATGTTTTGTTGCAGTTTTAGGTGTGTTTCAGGCAGGCTGGACCAAAACACATTTCCTGTGTGTCTCCCACACATCACAAGGTCACAAAATGCACTCTAAATGCTTAGCAAGGCTGTGTGAGGGTGACTGTCACAGGCTTTCACAAGTTCAGCAACTATCCTTGAGGCCTGAGTGGAGGGACCATTTCTTGCAGAAGATCTATAAGAGAAAAGGTAATTGGAGTAAGTATTAACTTTGATGAGCAAGCTTGACACAAACTGACATTGCAAACTTATTTTTCCTTGACCCTGGCTGCCTACATTTCTGGGATTTAATTTCTTTGACACCTTTAGACAAGTCTGCATGTATCCCTAAGACCTTGTTGCTGCTTGTGGATCGCTGAATTTCACACTGAATTTTAAAGGTAGAACTGTATCCTTCATACATTACTTACCTTGTCAGACACTGACATAAGTTATTCAATGTTTTTGATTCCAAGGAATTTAATTTTGAACCAATTGTAAGTGTATGAAAGATGCGGTCTTCCTCCCCAGAGTTAGTGGTGAATAACGAAAACAAGATGTGTTTCTTTCCTAAGTATAACCAGCTGCCATTATCAGGAATCTCAGGAATTCTTTTCACCGTGACACAGTTAAAGTACATACGTTGCCAGTTATCACAGGAAATCTGTAAAAGTAGTTAGAGTTTGGGATTTCCTTATTTTTAGAGTTCACATCAAACAAATTCCTTCTAATAAGAGCAGTGAACAACTGTGTCTCATTCAGCATGCAGTTCCATGGACAATCCAGGTGACTGAGCTCCAAGAAATGGATGCTCCTGAGCCTTTCGACTGGGTCGTATCCAGCCATAAACTGAAGGAAGTTTATGCATTCTTTGGTGTAGCTTGTTATAGTTGCACCCTATATCTGACCACAGCCTTTTTTGTTTAACTGAAATTGTGTTGTACTGAGAAATTATCCCTGTGTAATAATTACATGGAATTTTGAGTCTGCATTTGATTATGTGTCATCAGGATTCAATATATGAGAGATCAGGGCTTATCCATGACCTATCGTGGCAGCACTGCTCTGTGAAGAAAATAAATCCAACAAACCCTGAAGAAAACCCTGGTGAGAACCAAGGCTGACAGACTCTTAGATGTGGAAGGGTAATGTGGAGAGGAAAGATGCACTATCCAGTGGCAGCAGCTGCAGTGATTTGTGGAGTGCAGCCCCAAAGCTCCTCTCCCTCCAGGTGAGACACTTAAATGCAACCTACCCAAGTAATAGAAAACAGCCCTGCAGATTCTCAACTGGATGAGGATGAGATTTCAGCATAATTTTTCGCTGCAGTCTGGTGGAGAGACCTGGCTGTTAGGGCTGACAAAACCAATTCAGGATGGGTTTACATGAATCCATGTGTCTTCAAGTTCCTACCTGCTACTCAAGTGACAAAATTCTTAGCTGTCTTGTAAAGTTGTCTTCACATTTCAGAAGACGAAAACTAAGACTGGGATGTGGAGCCTTAAATCACTTTGGCACCCTTTTCCTACTTTTGCAAATAATGCCCACAGCTTTTTTTTTTTTTTTTTTTTTTAAGTGAGAAGCTTGTAAGAAATCCATACAAGTTTAATAAAATTTATACAGGAAAGGGAAGAAGAGGTAAGACTGCATGCTTTTAGTCTTATTTTACCTTTGAGCATAAATACATCTCTTATTTGAATATCTATTGTAAAAGAACAGAAACAAGTAACCAGCAGTAATGAAGCAATTAAGCAATTCTGTTTAAAAGTGTAAGCAAACATTTGCAGGAAATCATTTGCATGAGGCATTTAGTTCTACTTGGAGAACTTTAAATGAAAATCATTTAAAGAAGATACCTTTGAAATAAATCCACAAATATGTTGCTATTCAAGTTTGTATTGATCATATCTATTTGCAGTGAATGGTTATGATTTTCTGATAAGAAAATTATGTAATAAGTAATTTTGTGGTTCCAACTTGCTGACGTATTTTAGTTTAAAGTTTACCTAGAAATAGTCTTATGGCTTTGAGAATATGGCCTTTTTGCTGCTATTGAAATCTGAGAAGAGCACTGGATATGAGGAATTGAAAGTCTTCACATAACTTTGTAATACAAGATGGATGGGAGGCATACCAGAACAGGAGAACTCGAAATCAGACACCTGAATGTAATGTGAGAGATGATAAATGTATTTACACATCTACAAAAAAAGAAATCACAAGTAAAAAAACATAAATAAAAGCACAGTTCTATATGGTCAAAATACTTTACAAACAAGAGATAAGAGGCATAATCAAATCAGTGTCTTCCAGGTAGTAGCAAGGCAGTGCTCCCATACATTGTGATTTTATTTTTTAGGGTAATATAAGCTGCATGTTTCTGCTAATGGGTGTTTCTCAGATTTCAAAGCGGCAAATGTGAGAAGAAAATAGAATTTTCACAATTTAAAAGAAAAAATCAAGGACAGTGTCCAG